AGGAGAAGGGAGAAAGAGAAGAAATAGGAAGAGGAGAAGGAGAAGGGGAAAGAGAAGGAGAAGAAGGTGAAGAAGGAAAGAGAAAGAAGGAGAGGAAGGTGTAGGAGAGGGAAGAAAGGGAAGGGAGGGGAGAAGGAGAAGGGAGAAAGAGAAGGAGAAGGAAAAGGAAGAGGAGAAGGACAAAAAGGAGAAGGAAGGAGAAAGATGGAAGGAGAGGAAGGTGAAGGAGAGGCAAGAAAAGGGAGGGAGAGGAGAAGGAGGAGAAGGAAGAAAGAAAAGAGAAGAAGAAAAGAAGGCAGTGTATTCTGAGCATTGAACAAGGGTTGAAAGAGTTAAAAACAACCCAAAAGGAAAATATAAAATAATGAGGCAGAAGGCTGGTGTGGGGTCAGGCCCAAATGCATGACTCACGGCATACCGTAGCCTCGCCTGAACCCAAGCTGACTATCTTGTGGGGGGGGGGGGGGGGTGCACAATTTTTGACATCTTTCTTTCTTAACCTGTATGTACAAGGTGTGTGTGTGTGTGGTGTGTGTGTGAGACCTAGTCGAGAGGCCTTTGGGGACCTCGGCCCCCTTTTTACGAAGGCCCTCCACCCAGGGGGTTGCGTGTATGGAAAAACTCAGAATGGCAGGCACACACCTCTAGCTAGTCCTCGGTTTACGACCATCATTGCGCTTTCCATCCAGGATTTCCCTTGCTAAGCGAGTCAGTTGTCGACCGAAACCGGATGCAATATTCCAAGGGTGCCTTATTATGTAACCTCCTCACCTTTTCTGACCCTCTGGAAGACACCTTTGGGTCAGTGGTGGTATTTTACCGATTTGGCCCGGTTCTGCCGAGTCGGTTAAGCGCCAATGAGAAGCAGAGACCAAACCGATTCTCGAAGGCACTCTGCTGTTGGGCCCACCTGCCCACCTGGGCTCCCATTACTGACCTGTATTCCCTGCTGTGGAAGCACAGCTGCTTTGTGCGGCACAGAAGATTGCCGCGCGTCACCTGCTGAAGTGACCGGGAGAGTGCAGGAGGTGTGTCGGAAATCCTCTGCACCTGTGCAAAGTGCGTGTTTGGCCCGTGCACATGCCCAAAGTGTGTGTGTGTGTGCATGCCAAGCACACCCACCAAGCCATGCCCACTGAACGGGTGGTAATTTTTTTTTTTTGAAACGCACCACTGCTTTGGTTCAGGGGTGGAATTCTGCCGGTTCAGACTGGTTCAGGCAAACTGGTAGTTCCGGCAATTCGTTGGCCCCGCCCAACCCTCCCTGTCAGTTTTGGAAGCCATATTCCACGCTGCCACGTAGCCTGAGAAAGTGGGAGGGGGTTGATTTCAATTGAGTAGTTCTAAGGAGACAAAATAACATTCTTTTGGTAGTTCAAGGTTACTAAGTGTGGCGCAGCAGAGAAAAAGGATCCTACACTGGGACGGATCACAACGGGTCCATGTGATCTGATGATGTGACACAAAGGCAACCCAGTCAGATAATCAAGAGGAGTCCCTTTATTCACTCCAACGTTGCCCCCAATGTCATGGTTCCCTTCTAGGCTGGA